AGAGAGAGAGAGAGAGAGAGAGAGAGAGAGAGAGAGAGAGAGAGAGATAAAAAAAATATTGAAAAGCTATGGAAACGTTCTTGTCTGCCTCTCTAACACACATTTTGAATTTGGTCGCATTTAGCATTTTACGGAAAGGGTTGTTGTAGCTGGTTCTTTTGGGGTGATGCAATAAGAGGCGCTTAGTTAATTATTCATGCTGTTGGTGGAACGCCTAAATGCGAATAAGTACGTGCATATGATTTTTATCTACTCCAAGGCTACTTCGAATCCGATTTGGGAGCAAAATAATTCAAAACAAAAACAAATGAAAAACTACTTGTAATGAAACGGAAAATTTATCACTTAACATGTGCACACATACATTGAGCCAAAGGGAGACCGAAGGACGCGAAATGTCTCCGATTGAGAGAAAAAAAAGACCAACAAAAACCACGCTTTACAAACTCATACGAGAATTTTTCTGAAAAAAAAAAATGATAGCACAACTTTCGGCCCACCTTTAATCCGGTTTCGAATGTAATTTATAATAAGTGCTTAAAATTTATTGCTTCGAATTTTTCACAAGCGAATCGAAATCGGTTCAATGTATGCCGTTGCTTTTTTTTCAATTTTGCAATTCTCTTTGTTTTTCCTATAGCATTACATGTATGGCATTTATAAACTGTACTTCAAACGTATGTACATGTACTGCACAAAAATGAAAAACACAAAAAAAAACCGACTCAATAAAAAACGAGAAAAAAATATCAATGTCGGATGTAACGACTATCCAATTTTGACGGGGAAAAACCGCACAATGATATGCTGAGCTAATGAAAAAAAAAAAAAAAACCAGAGATGAAAAACAATTTTGCTAAGCATACGAACACAACTTGTTTACGTTTGACGCAATTATGAGTGTGACATAGTAAATGTATTCCGTTGAATAGCTCATGCATATTTGATAGCCTGAGCATAATAGACAATATGAACTCTTTACGACCAATCATAAAAAGCACACTACAGTTTGTCCGTTTTCAGGGGTCATATCACATGACGCCAAATTGCTAAAATCTTAAACGACCATCATTCCCTCACAAATTCATGTTTTTTTAACCATGTCACATCAGGATACGGCAACGAAAAATTATGTTTGAACAATCACTGCTACTGAAAAGAAATAGTTTCCGCATTTGAATGAGTATGTGGTTTTTTCTCTTTTTATGCACGAATGAAGTGAATCCATTTAAAACAAGCAAAAAAAGCATAAACATGACCAAGTTTTTGGCTTTTTTTTTTTTTTGAATTACATATGAAATGCTATCACATTACGATATGAATTTTCAACATATTACCCGATTTCAATGAAATTTTAAAAGAGTTGAACAACTTCTCGCTAGTGTCAACAACAACAAAACACAAGTAAGCTAAAAACTCCCATACATGGGATAAACATATAATTGGTTGCCAACGCTAAATTTCCGGCGACAGAAGTAAAAGAATGGTCAGAGTGTGAGAGAAAGTGAAAAAAAATGTGGGCTCTAACGAACCAAAATGGCTATGCAAAAATGAACTTTCCTCTACGAAACAAGATAAAAGCAATTTTTTACATTTTTTTTCTTTCCTCGACGTTTTTTTTTTTTTGACGAACATAAGACTGATACAGAAATAGAGAGAAAGAGTCTACGTATGTGTATGTGTCTGTGTGTGCTTGTGACTGAGGGAGTGAGTGAGTGACCAAGTGTGGCTTCAATGGATCTATGAATGGCTGAGTGAATGTTTTACAAACGAATTTTACTGTTTTCTCACATGCATTTCCAGAGGAAATGCAATATATTTTTCTTTGATCTGAGCTGGCAAATGGATGAACGAGTTAGCCAACACAAACACCGACACAACTACTATTTCTTTTGTGCATGGCTTGGGAGTATGTGAGGATGTTTTGTGTATGCAAAAACGGCTTCGGTCGATTTGGGATATAATTTGATTTGACTCGTTGATTGTCACGAACAAAATGAGCAACAATTTAGCAAACGAATCGTGTCAATTGAATGCATTTCATTTTCCAATTTATGCACGGTGTGGTGATGCCACATGAATAGACCATATTACAGAAACGATGTCGACGACGACAACGATGATGCTACCGCCGCCACCACCACCCATTGCCATTTCTGTTACGAATGGCGACTGCAATTGGTATCCTGTTATGCATTTTAATGTTGAATCTAGTACTCGAATGCACTTCACCGAATTGTATACGGACAGACCGAGCAAAAGCACGTTTTTATTTATGTGGATAATAAAATTGTCAAAATCAAAATGAATAACGTTTCAGATATTTGCATCAAATTTACATACCATTTTTGCGGATTTATTTAAATTAGAAAATTGCTACAATTTCCCGAATAAAGTTCTCACGGAAGCACCAACCAGATTGCCGACAGACGAAAAAGTAGTCGCCATATATAGACTATATACATTATCTCTCTCGCTCTCTCTTATTCTCTTGAAAAAACTGAACGTGAATTGAAATTGTAACATTTAGTGTTTGTACACACATTTCACATGCACACCGAAAAAACTCTGTATTGATATTGTTATTCGTTCAGTGAATCGAAAGGCTAAGTTCGTATTCAACAATCTATCATTAACATAAAAACAAAAAAAGTGATCATAAATACAATGAAATTATGTGAAGGCCCATTATATGCAACTGGAATATTTTTCGTTTAATTATGGTCAGTTAGTGAATATTCAAATTTGAGTGGACGGTTCAAAAAACGTTGAAGTAACAACTGAAAAAAAAAACATTTAAATTACCTGTTTGATATTCTCGATGCCAACCAGTCCATGTCCATTCGGGATTGCCACGACGCCGTTGAAACATACAGTCCAAATGTATGGTGCTTCCGGGCAATACAGCCAAAAAACCTGATGGCTCAAATGCACCGGAACCAATTCCGATTTTTATCCGAATCGATGGAGGACTATCGTCTGTTATATACGATGTATTCATGTATACAATTCAGAGATTTTGGATAACCAATTAAAGTCACACCACATAAATGTTATGATTTATAAAATGTTGTGTGTTAAGTATTCGATTCAACCGTAAATTATTTCATGTCATTTTTTCAATTTACTGTCTCTTTGACCATTCGGCGGCGTGCCAAAGAAATGAAAAAGTGACAAAGAAAAAGAAAAATAGTGAAAAGGAAAATGAAATTACCCGAGAAGTTCGTTAATAGTGTCGTTGGAATGCAAGACGGCATACGAGGCGCCTGAAATGTCGCTTAAGATTAGTACGTTTGGCTGTGACTACGCATAACCATATACTTACCCATAACCCATTAGAGCATAACACACCCGACTCACCAAGTAATTTATATAATCCCAAATCTTTACAACGTGCTTGCAACGCTTCCCCTAAAAGTAATTGTGTTGGGTTAAAAAGTGGAAATATACTTATTTTAACCCTACTGCGGGCAAGGTGAACAGTTTTAAATCTCATGGTCTTATCAAACGTTTCAGAAATGGCAAACAAATATATTTCAAAGTTGCCATATGCAGGGCCGTTCCCTAAGCCCAAAAAGAAAAACAGAAAATGTCTTGGGGATTTTCGTTCGAGACGAATTTTTTTAGGAAAAAATGGGATATTGTTTTCCTTTTTAATTTGTGTAAAATAGTTAAATTTCAAATTTACAACGCATTTGAGTATATAAATTAAGTGATTTATAATTCTCTTTTTAATTCACTTGACCGTCAAGTCTTGATGGCCCCAATGAATCCACCTTGCTCGTCCAAGGGTTAGAAGGATATTGTATTGATAAAAAAAGTAAAAGTTACCATGTGGTACATCCCATCCGACATTCTGAAAATTAAAAAAAAAATGTGAAAAAAGGAAAGTGAAGCAGTAAAATATGAAAAGGAGCAAAGAAATAAAGGAGAGCCAATTGGAGGCGAAAAAATCGAAACCGATGCAATAACGAACATCCATGTGTGTACGCCTTTAACATATTATCGTGTGACATCCGGACGATCAGAGGTCCGAAGGAGCGAGAATGTGACGAAGCATAAAAAAGCACAACACCACGAGCCAGAACAAGGGGGAGGGAGAGCGAGAGTTAGAAAGAAGGAAAGCACAAAATTAATAATATCTTTTATGTGAGTAAATGTTCAGGCTTATTGTTAGATGTTTTATGGTAAATCTTATTAAAGCGAGCATTCCACAAGCCATTGCAAACAATGTAGATTTGCTATATTGAAAAATTCGATAAAATAATATTTATGTGCCCAAATGTCGTATGTTTTGCTTGAGTATTATTGCCGGGTCAAACGGAGAGCAAAAGACATAGAAATTGAAAACATTTAGTTGGAGTTCGAAAAGTTTGGATATGAGATTTCTCTTTCTCTCTCTCTCTCTCTCTTTCTCTAATTCCCATTTCTTCTTTATGTTTATGGTGTTGATGGTATTGGTGGTGTTGTTATTGGATAGAAAATTCAGAAAACGTTAATATGAAATGAGGGTGATTTTAGCACGGGAAACAAAATATTTTTCTTTTTTTATTTGTTATAAGTTTTGTACCGAAAAGTATATGCACACCACCGCCGACAGGTCGGTATACCTTTTGGTTGTTGCATCGAGAAACGTCAAGAGGTCTGATAGATTTGAAAGAATCATAAAATTTCGTCGTGAACAACATAGTACAGTGCGAATACATGAATTCCTTCAAAGATACGAATGAACAAACGCGTGCGAGCGTCCACAAGTTGAAAAACAAGATACGATGCCAATGAACATATTAATAAAAAGTAATGGCTAAAAAGAAAGAAGTCTAAAGATATTGTGTGTATGTATGTACGATGTACCAGCGGCTTCTAAAACGGCAGACGTCGACGACGGCAAAATGGAATAATTTTTACATTATTGTGATGTATGATTGTTAATTATTAATTAAACCTCAAGAGGAAAAGAGCAAAAATATTCTATGTATTGCAAGTATAATTCATAAAAGTGCGATAATGGAAAAAATATTTCATACCACTGATATATTTTTGTAGCTAAGCAACAAATGGGGTGGGATTCGATTCACATTACAACTTTTGTACAACGGCTGGAATTTCATTTGGCCATGATCATCTGTGGTGTATGGTGTGTATTGTTTTTGTTGTTGTTGAGTTGGACGACGCGAGTGTATCCAGTATTTGTTTGCATGAATGTTGTTGTTGTTGTTGGATTTGGTATGGTTTGGTTTATGGTGTCGGTTGTGGCGTTCATAATGGATAAATCATGTGAATGAGTGAAAAAGTATGTGTGTATGTGCGTAGAAATGTTATGATGTCGATATGCGTTGGTAAAAAGGTCGGTGCACATATGTATATGTGTTTGGGTGAGTTTTTTTTTCCATTTTTTATTACAGTATCCGAAACCACAATGCATAGTTAGAGCAGCATTGTTCAATACGAGTGACGGATGAACACAAAAACAGACAAAAAGTAGTAGAAGAGAAAATATGAATTTTTATATTATTTAGATATTAAATCGCTGTAAAAAAATGGATATATATATATATATATAGTGTGAGAAGGAGAATGGCAAGCACATCATTTCGAAATTTTATAGACGAGAGTTGATATTTTTGCCATTTTTTTCTTTGCCTCTGTTTCTTCTCGCTCATAATTCTGTTTTCGAAATGATGTAAATAAAATGGTAGAAGGATGTCAAACAAATACACTGGATATAAATGAACATAAGTTTTTTTACCCTCTTCATTAGCGCACAATGGGCCAACCCATTTTCCTTTAACGCAGCGTATTTTGCATAAACGACGATTTCCCATCGGACCAACTTCGCCAGGAAACCGAACTTCAGTAACCTCATCAAAATGTATACCTTCCTCGGAGTCTTCTTCCTCTTCGTCCGACTCATCATCTTCTTCGGGACCGTACGGCACGGATTGAACTTCGTCTTCATATCCAGCTGCGTGTTGCATTTATTATGTATTGTTGTTTGACGTTATTGTTGACAGCAATATTTGTGTGTGCGAGTTTTTGTGTGTTATATGGTATGACAAAGAATGAGCATATTTTTTGTTGTTGTTTCTACTCTATATATATATATATTTTTTTTTTCTTTAGTCATAGCTTCTGAAGTTGAAGATCCAAGGGGGGTGGGGGGTTCTAATTTCAACATTTTCTCAAGATCTGAAGGGGTAACTTTTTACTTTTTCTATTTGGTCTTTCACAAATTCAAAAATGCATTATTTGATATTTTCCTTCCTAGGGGGGATGTTTCAGAGCATTTGGCTCAAAAAACCCTAGCTAAATTTAATATTTTCTCCAACTTTAGAAAGTGAAGAGCTAAAAAAAAGGTCTTTACTTTTTTCGCCAAAATCCCTAGCAAATCGAAAGAATATTTCTCTCAATTTGTAAAGGGGTGATTCCCAAATCTCTTTTCCAGGGGGGGGGGGGGTTAATCCAACCCCTCGGACCCCTGCTCAGAAGCTATGTCTTTAGTTCAAAAAATTTAAATGAGACCATTGAGACACAAAATAAAAGTGCTACGAAAAAAAAATTCGAAAAATAAAACACACTGAGGAATCTCGAATTAAATGCGAAATTATGCGTAGAATTTTTCGGGGACAACGAACACCTTGGCCCAAAATGATAAAAGCACAGTAAATAGCGGTGAAAAATTCAAAAATTTATTAATTTTTGTCATACGATTGTTATTTGAATCTGCAGCATGGCCTTCGTTGGCGTACCACCGTTTGACATACCATACTGAACACATTACCATGTGTTTTACATTTTTCTTTACGCTATTGAAATGCAGCCGAAGCATAACACATAAAAGTAGAACGAATTGCGTTGAGTGGTGTTGGTTCTCTTAAATCTGCGTTCGGTCACTTGTGACTGTCTCTTTTTTGTTATCTAAAAGTGACATTTGGGGTTTATATAGCATGCAAAGAGAAAACTTAAAAATCGCCTCACAAAAAAAGTCGATTTGTTTTAATCTACGAAATCGACTACTGTGATTATTCTCGAGAGAATTTTGGCATTTTATTTCTTTTTAGATAAAGTTGAAATTTGGTCTCTTCTCGACATTTCTTGAAGCGATATAGAATCAAAGAGACATCAAAATCTCAACTTTTTGTTGTTTTTTTTTTTTTTTTCTTTCTTCTGTTCTTTCTGTCGACAAACAGGAGGCTGTCATAGTGACTAGAAAGCCGAAAAGAGCGAGCGAGATTTGAATTTTTTTCCGTAGAATTCAAGAAGTGATAATATAGTATATAGTTTTTGTCGTCATTTGCATAAGATATTCCATCGAAATTTGTTTGTTTGGCTTGATTTTTGAAATGTGAGGGAAAGAAAATCGACAAGGCACACTGAGGAATGAAGGGGGGACAGAAGTATAAGCTTGTTTTCGTACGTAAAATTTCCCATGCACAAAGTCTACAAACTATACGTATTTATTAATAAAAAAATCATTTTTCCTGTATAACATGAGGCTGTGTGTGAGAGTGTGTTGTGCAAGCATCGGTTTTTGGTTCGAAATTCGGTTTTTACGCGCTCTGAAATCTATATTGAATTGCTTACCCACAGTTTTGGTTATAGATTTGTGTATATGTGTGTATGTGTTTCTCTATTTTAGTTCACATTTTTGATAAATGATAAAAGTTTCGAAAGAGTTTTCCCAGACAAAATCGAATCGAAAAACTACATAGTATCAGAATATGGTCGAGAAAAGGTTGAATTTATATGACATGACGTGATCCATGTATTTTGAAGAAATTCCAAATCTGATTAAGGAGAAAAGCAAACGGTATATTCAAACAAGCGTTCTCTACGCCATCCAAAAATGACTACGACGTCGACGATTACGATAACTCTTGCGTCATGCACTACAGTGTTTTTTTTCTCTCCCATGTAACGGTTAGGTAAATACGGTTAAAAATATCGGTCGAGAAATAACGAAAGAAATTGTTTCGAAGACGAAAGTGAGGTAGAGAGATTGATAGAGTAAGTAAGTGAGCAACAAAGCTGGTGGATGAAGACGGGCTGAATTAATTTTTTCAACATTTTCTCTGTGTGTCGTCGAATTGACTCTACTTGCTTTTCTTTTTTTCAATATATCTCTCTTTCTCTACTAAAGTAGAAGTTCACAATATCTTCGGTTCATAACGAATATTTCTACTTATGAATCCTACTTAAGCAGAAACAGAGAGTAGAAAACGCTGCCGCTATAGTAATACTATATTAACGGTGCCTATAAATAGTTACTATTTGTACACATTTCGATTGTGTGACCACACCAATTTTTGCGAACTCCAATGTGAACAATGCAACTCTTTGTATGTAGATTTTAAATACAGTAAATATAGTATTACTATAGCGATAGTGTTTTCTACTCTCTGAGCAGAAACGATGAAACGTGCCATTGCTACTATGATGGTTATGTTGTTCATGTTTCTGTTGCTTCTACAGCTACTGTTCTCCAAAACAATTTCAAAAAAGTTTTCAATAATAGTTTATGTTCTTATACGGATTGTGTGTTCGAAAGCGCAATGAATTCGACTTTGATAACTTTTATAAATTGCACTTTTTCAAAATTATCATGACAGTGTTCATTTTGATTAAACATTATACTACTTCGATGCGAATGTACTGGAATCTAACACGCTAACGCCCTAGTATTAATGCATTCGTTTTGAATGGAGTTCGGGAACACGATGGGTGAAAATTGTAATGCATTATGGTGTGATGAAGAAGACGAAATGAAGTTTAAAATTGATTTAATGTAAAGTACTCGAGCAAGAGAGAGAGAGAGAGAAAAAAAAATCTGAAAAGCTCAAAATCCAATGCCTTGAAAGCCGGCACGAATAATATAACACGAAAGAAACGACAACTGCAAATTAACAATAAGTTTCATTATTACAAAATAAATGTGGAAAAAGGGATAAAACCCATTTGTAAATTTGCGCGTGAACTAGACGAAATAGACTAGATGTGAGACCAATTCGCGCGCGGCGAACAACAAAGAACGATAGAATGCGCAAAGTGAGAATGAGGAAAGCGGTAAAGCCGAAGCGAAGGAGAGAATGAATTGGTATCTCGGAAGCGAATCTCGTTCACATTGTCACAAGGCATGTATTTAATAGCTTGTCGCTTGTTCACACTATGTGCTTTATGGAGTGCAAGCCCGCGAGCACATTATTGTTATTATTATAATAAAACTTTCTTCATCACTTGAGCAACACACCGACACAAGCAAAAAGAACAAATCAAATGCCAACTACGCGCGAAGTGCATAAAACGTTTGCACGTTTTTATTAAGACTTTAGTTTTTAACTTTGTCCATTTTTCAAAATACACACTCACACACATAGAGAGAGAGAGAGAGAGAGAAAGAGAGAGAGAGAGAGAGAGAGAGAGAGAGAGAGAGAGAGAGAGTATAGTATACGCATTAGAAGTTCAGCTTATGGTATTGTATTTTCTCTTTTTCTCTGAATAAGACACCATAATGCCAGTATATTAGGGTGGGTCAAATTATAGGGGGCCGAAAAAATCTCCATGGGCACATCGCGATTCTGGTACTATGGGCCATAACAAGTATTTTTGCCCAAGGAACCATATGTCTAAAATCATTTTCGAGCCTGCCCATTTTTAAGTATAGATTTTTCCCAAAATATTTAAAAATCGACTTAGACATTGCATTGAAAAGGCAAAAAAACATTATTTTTTCTCTAACCAAATGTGTATGCGGGGGTTTCTGGGGTCGAGGAATCCATTTTTGACATTTATTTTGCGATATGATAACGTTTTGATACGATTTTCATACAAAAACTGGCAAAAATGGTCGTTTACTTCTTTTTTTTCAATTTTTTTTTTGTTGATGTCGATTTTATCATCGGATCAAAAAATTATGTTCTACAAAGTTGTTCAGAATGATGAGAGAAATTTTTTGGGTCAGCTGCCCTCCAACTCCCCCCACCCCCTAGGGGGGTAAGGGGTCACAACCCCTTAACCCCTGATTTTTTTGACCTGAAACCCCAAAATTCGGCTTCAGCATGCCAAAAAACCTTTAGAAAGTGTTTTTTCCAGATGCCCCCCGAGACAATTTTCACAAAATACCCCATAGTCTCATAGTATTTGACCCCAAATGGGGGGATCTTACTTTTTGTGAAAATTGGCTCGGAGGGTACCTGAAAAAAACACTTTCTAAAGGTTTTTTGGCATGCTGAAGCCGAATTTTGGGGTTTCAGGTCAAAAAAATCAGGGGTTAAGGGGTTATGACCCCTGACCCCCTAGGGGGTGGGGGGAGTTGGAGGGCAGCTGACCCAAAAAATTTCTCTCATCATTCTGAACAACTTTGTAGAACATAATTTTTTGATCCGATGATAAAATCGACATCAACAAAAAAAAAATTGAAAAAAAAGAAGTAAACGACCATTTTTGCCAGTTTTTGTATGAAAATCGTATCAAAACGTTATCATATCGCAAAATAAATGTCAAAAATGGATTCCTCGACCCCAGAAACCCCCGCATACACATTTGGTTAGAGAAAAAATAATGTTTTTTTGCCTTTTCAATGCAATGTCTAAGTCGATTTTTAAATATTTTGGGAAAAATCTATACTTAAAAATGGGCAGGCTCGAAAATGATTTTAGACATATGGTTCCTTGGGCAAAAATACTTGTTATGGCCCATAGTACCAGAATCGCGATGTGCCCATCGAGTAAAAATAATTGACCCACCCTACAGTATATGTATATGCATTGCTGAGACAATTCAACGCGATTAAAATCGTGTAAATGAAAACGCATTAAATAAAGAGAAAACTTTGTAAAAAAACCACCACAAACAAATGCCGTCGACACAACAACGATAGCGTAAACACACAGAGAGAGAGAGAACAAATGTGAACTTGCAGGACGACAGCAACGGCGACACCGACCGAACGAAAAAAAAATGGAGTGAGAGAAAGAAATCTGCGAAAAAGGTGTTAATACTTTGTTAAAATTCGATTTGCGAAATGTACTCTCTAGCCCGAGAGTCCGAATTCTATGTCGTTCCCTACTTTTTGGCTCCGGGTTTCATGTGAAATTATTCGCTTTGGTAGAAAACAGCCGGAAAACAAAAACAAACACGGACTAATCAAAAATACAACAAATTTATGATGGCGACAAGAATGAGAGCAAAACTAAGTGAAAAAAAACAATGATGAAGAAAAAAAACAACATACAAGCAAACAAAACAAGAAATGACACTGAACATAAAACAAATGTTCCCGTATAAAACGAATGAAACACTGAAAATTGCGTCGTTGAATGTTTTTTTTTTTGTGTTTGTTGTTATTGTTGCTGCGCTGCTGTTTATGAATAAAATGTTCATAAAACTTGAATTAAGTGTTAGCTTTAGAAGAACACATGCTTTAGCTCGTTCAACATCTGATCCTCATACCTGTGTCAGAAGAAGTTATTTGTTGTGGATGTTATTATTATTAAACAACTCAATGCGTTCATACGATAAAATTGAAAATTCCCAATCTCGTATCGTATGAAAGCCAATGTTTTGCGCTTACGTCCCGCGCCCTGTCCGATTCAAGCGCGCACGCAAATTTGTCGTATATGCGTGTATTATGTGTTTGCGTTTGCTTTACCATTGCACACATTTTTTAAAGGATAAAGCTTCAATTCAAATTCATTTCGCGTGATGATAGTCGTCGTCGTCGTTGTCGTATAATGCAAACGGTGCAGAAGAATGTATATAGATAGAACGAAAGAGAGAAATTGCTTTGCAACGCACACAACAGCTGCTCGTTAAACAGCACGAAAGGGAATGAATTAACCATACGAAAACTACATGCATGCAGTTTTGTGTATGTTTATTTCAGTGTATGAAATTGTTCAGCATGTTTTTATGTTCATTTCATCTTCATTCTCATTTTTTCCTTCGTTTCTTTAAATAGTGTATATGTATTTCATTCATTTCATTTTTCTTTTCATTTTCTCTATAGCTTTGTTTGCTGAACAAAGGCAATTTTGATAGTTTGATAAAAATCAGTACAAGTCAATGCCCATTTCCAAATCAAAGACAAATCAAAACACACAAAAATTAACTAAACAATCGGAATGTGAATAATTTAATTAAAACATAACTGAATGAACGCAATAAACTCAAGTGGAAAATTGAAATACAAATTGCAATGACGAAGCATTTGCCAAAATTAAAATTGAAACAAAGGAGAGTTTATGTATGTGCAATAGAGAGAGAGAGAGAGATAGCACACATACGGATAAACCAAAATACCGAAATTAACAAACAAAAAACAGAAATTGAAAACCAAACCGAATATTTGGAATACTCATTCAGGTATATTATAACGCTGTTACTCGCTAGTCAACGTTCCAATCGCATGCTGATCGAAATACATCGTTCTCAAGTTGTTCGATACCAACTTTTCTTGGATTTTAATGGTTGTTGTTGTTTTAGTCGATGCATTTCGTATCGTGCCAAACTGAGTCTATGCTCACTGTATTATTCTGTCATCTTGCCTTCGTTTCGCAGACTCAGACAAGCACTCGCACACATTTGGTCACCAGTGAACATTGAAACAGCTATGATCGAAATATTGACTAGCAACAACGCTTTGCCATTCCATAGTCATTACCAGTATTGCAATGTGAGCAGTGCAACATACCACAGATTTAAATATCTGCCTTTTAACAAATCTTCATTTTTATGTCAGAAAACTAATTGTTACTTATACCGATACATGACTATTAAATCTAGTGGTCATGATGAGATTCAAATTCGTTGTAATTTCAAGAGAAAAAACCAACAGTCGAATATAAATAAAATTTAAGATTCAACTCTTCGTTATTTCTAACGATTTTGATCGACCCATCATGTCCAAAATAAAAAGAAAGCCTTCTACTTTCACCCTGTGGTATATGGTTGCCATCTGTGTTGCAAGACTGTTTATTACTTACTTTCTTTTTTTCGACTTGTACTCTTTGAACCACTATCGTTGCCACCTTTGGGTCTCCCCAATGCCCCTGCGGCCTTTCCCGATTTTCGTTTGATGCGATGCAATTGATTTGGTTTAGTTTCGTTAATTGAATCATTGTCATGTTTTATTGTTACAATTTTTTCAATGTCATTGGCAATTTTCATATTTGAATTGGCATTGAAAGTGTTTTCGTTGTCGTCATCATCATCATTGTTATCGGTCAATGCGTTGCCAGTGTCATTTGTCTTTGATTTTGTTTGGCCTGTCATCACCATCTTATCAACATGATAATTATCCGTATAGACACTGTCTGTAGTATCGTTGTCATTTCGATACATTTTGCTAGCAATGTTGCGATGGCCATTGTCTCCATTTTGTGTGCGTTGCAAAGCAATTTTATGGACAATTTTACCATTTTTCAGTTTGAATGTGATTCTCATTGTTTTACTGTTGCCGATGCCATTGTCGAAAATGCTGTTACCGTTTTCCATGGTTCTATCAACATTTTCGCTGCTGTCAATGCCAGCTTTATTAGTATATAATTTTTTTGTTTTCATTGTATTTCGGCCGATTTTGCTAGACAACAAATGATTTAAGCCGTCGTTGTCATCGATGTTCCGTTGTCGTTGTTGCTGTTGCTGTTGCTGCTGATGTTGTTGTTGGAGCTGTAAATCATTATGTAATTGGCTTACAATGTTTATCGATTGAATATAATAAGCACCGTCGATTACTTTATCTTCTCGAATTTCCCGTTTGGTTTGCTTATGGCCCTGATTGTGTTGGTCCAACCGGCGTCGACCTGTATTTTTACGCAATTTACGCCGTTCCCATTTGTTATTCTTGTTGTTTCGATGAATGCTTTCACTGCCACTGCTACCCAATGGAATATGCAGCTCATCCCTATATTTTCAAATTGATAAACAGAAAATGTAGTCGTTCAGACATAGAACGAGCAACAAAAAGACACACACAGTCATGCATGCAACTCAAATTCAATATGAAAACCATCTCTAGCAAACAGTATATTTTGGCTATTCTAAAATGTTGCATTTGAACACAAACACACACACACACACACACACACACACAGTGCAGCCTTCATATACACGCTTCTGCAAAGTGTTTCATTCTGTTCGCTATTCGACATATTCACAGCCATATATATATTATGGCAGAGCATGAGATTTTTGGATCGAAAGGATTTGAATTTAGATTTTCAAAACAGTTTTACTTTACATAAAACATTTTAGAATAGTTTTTGTTTACCCATCGCCAACCTTCCACGCATATGGATTGTAATCAGTGTATCGTGTGCTACGTTGATTTGATGTGTGAGCTTCGGTTTCCGTCGAAAGTGTTTCATCAACAGTGTGTTCGCCATAATCTAAATCAGCGGTGGTAAATTCATCCGGTAGAAATATTTGTGTTGTTTCGAACGTTACGTATGGCGGTTCAGTCGTTGTCGAACCAAATTTTTTTGGACGAACAAATCTCATATCAGGTAACTGGCAACCAGTTGTGGCCTCTTCATTGTCGATATTGTTCATGGTCGATCCAATAACAGCAATAACAGACATAGAAAGAGAATGAAACATAACAAAAAAAACGAGAAAATAGAAAAGGAGAAAATAGAAAGGCATGTTGATTAAATCCAAGCAAGTAAAATTTCGTTCACAATATGGAATATCGGATAAGCCGAAAAATACATAAACTAAAATGCAATTGCCGTGTTGCCATACTACTTTATCGTTTTTGTATTTCTGTCGTTTTGCAATTGCTTATGTTTGGAAAATTGTGTGCTACCGTATTCCCCGCAAAACAGACATTGACTTCTTAACTAACAATACTTTATTTGTTCCCGTTAAATACTTGAATGCGTATAAGAGCTTTTTCGCTGGTTCAACCTCAATCTCACTTATCAACGAACAAGTGAGAATATGACAGAGTGAACGAAACTCCTGGCATTAAAGTAAATAATTTACAATATACGCCTAGTTTCATAATGCGGTTAAAACTAAAATAAACAAAAACGCTCATTCCATTCGCCATAATATCTTATTCTATTTTGATACATTTTCTTTGGTTCGTTTCCGATGTGAATGATGTGAAATATGTCGGTTCATTTCTCTCTCTCTCCCCCTTTCACACACATTTTCATTCATGTGTTTTAATTGTGCGGCGTATATACCAGTGTTTTATGCCTGTACAATGTGAGTGTGTGTGCGTGCTATTCTTCGAATCTATCTATTTATATATGCATGCACATTGTCGTGTGTTTGTGAATAAATGTGTTTGCGGAAAACCAAAATTCATGTTCGCTCATTTTTAAGGGGTTTTGCAATGAATGGCAAAGATGTTAATAGGCTACAAAGTATCGTGTTGACTATAAAAGTATCTTTTCTACCCCGACAAATTTGCTTGTTTTACTTAAACTCAAATCATGATTAATATGTATAACAGACGCACTCGAGCAGCATCCGTACAACACTGGCAGACAGACCGAGCCAAAGTACGTTAAGTGTGTATATTACAGAATGAATGAATGAGTGTATGTTGAAGAAAGCTACACATTATATGTCTACTTGTACGTACACAATGCAATAGAATACACAATAATAATAAAAAAAATCTTTCGAACGCAATAACTGAACACTGATGAGAAAATGTACCAAATCCAGAGACAATATATGCACTGATGATGCGGGAGCGTTAAAAGCTTTAATTTAAATCTTCATTGAAAATCGTATAAAGTACATTGTGCTAAAGGAATTCGCCAATGAAACGGAAAAATGAATTAGTTTCTGACATATTTGTGTTCACTTCGTGGATATTCTAATGCCAAGAAATTTCATGCCCAATATATTTAATTCAGTAATACCACACACACACACACACACACACACAATACGGCCAGAGAGTGGTGAGCCCACGGTGGAGTACACAAAAAGCGAACCAGTGCCACGTAGTGTGAGTGTGTGGCAAACAGATGAAAGGGGGAGCAAACGTGAGCAGAAAAAAAGTGTCTTCTTGTCGTCAGTTTTGCTTGTCTCCATTTCCATTCATAAAGAAAACAATCTAGCACTTTTATTAAGGCATGTGTACAGAATTGGCGTGCTCACGGGCCGACATACTATAACAATATCAATATATACACCAAAGCCAACCAACACACGAGGAGCTGTGCAACGATCCACGTAGAGATTAGCTTTATGTTACAGTTGTTATGCTAATGTATCGTATACTACTTAAATTTAATGTGGTTAGTGGGTCACGTACCACAGTAAAGTGTCGATTAGTTTTGCATGGCTGTGGGTTTGAATTTGGTTTTTGTCATTGCATAATTTTACATTCGACCCGGAGTGTGAGAATGAAATGAGTGAATGTGTGTGTGTGCTCCGGTGTGTTAAATGTGCGTGTTTCATGTACGTTGTCATGCCACTCGTGTTCATTTAAATAGATTTCTTTTTTTTCATCGCTCTCTTTCTCTCGATTTAATTTTGCAGAATTTGCACAGCAAAACGGGGCGAAGAGCAAGCGAGCGGACAAAATTAGCGTGTGTGTGTCAAGTCTTTTGTTGCGTGAAATTTTCATCATCAAACATATTTTCTGCTTGATCGAATTAATTTCATACATATTTTATGTATAATTGTTATGATTTCCTTTTCCCCAAGCAATGTTTACAATATCGTAATTGAGTACATACAATCGACGAGTATGAGACGTGGATACATGAGATTCAATTGCAACCGGCATAACCCCATTAAATGGTGTTAACTAAATTCGACATTAAAACATTGCATTTGGTCAATGGAAAATAAATTTCATTGCCCCGTACAATACAAATGCAGAGGATGAGAAAGAGAGGTACAGATTATGATTAGCGTTTTGTGTATATTTATCTAGTCAAAAATTATTTGTTTTTATATGTAAATTATGCAAACTCCTCGTATCATTTTCCCGCTGCAACCAAACATTTCCATTTCAATTACCATTTAAGAAATTTGCTATTTTGCATTTGTGCCAAACTGTGTTGAATTGCGAAAACATTCTCTCTGTCCGAAACCAATTGAGATAGCGATAACGAGGGAACTCCTCAAAGACTTAAGATATGAGCGTGAGTTTTATATCAGTTTTATTCAATTGAAAATAAATAATGAAATGAGATTTGTATCGTATCACATTCACACATTCATTTCAATTTATTCCACAATGATACAATTCATTTTCGCATTTAGCAACATTCAATAAAACAAACATTCATTTCAGCACCGCATTATCCATCATTTGTGCCAATATTTAAGATTGTTTTTATTTGTGCTTTTCTCTTTCTCTCTGTGTATTAAAAATAATTGATCAATTTCGATATTTGCAACAGAGCCGATAAACAAAACCATCCAATGTAATTGCAAAACTGTTTCGGCCGCACAACGTTTCTCTCTCTCTCTCTCTCTCTCTCTCTGTGTGTGTGTGTGTATGATATCTTAGTGTGGATGGTGTTGAAAAGACATAATTTTGCTACCACAAAAAGTCTACATCACATTTGACCTCGAACTGTAGAAAATCACCAGAACTGATAGAAATATATATTTCTATAGAAATATATATCAAATAAAGTTGTTCCACACTTTTTGCTTGTAATAGATTTCTAATCATTTTCTCGTTACATTCTAATTTCTATTCCTATTCCGCACATTGTATTGATGTATATGGTAAGATTTGGAATGTAGCATTTATTACGCATCGACCTGTTCAATTAATCAATTGATCAACTAGTTATAATCTCAAAAGCTTTGCCGCTTTTCCATTCTGGAATGATCCATAATGCGTTCTGTCTACACAAATCCGGTGGAAACAAAGATTCAATATTATTTTCTTGTTAATCTGCTTCTCCGTTATTAAAGTGAGCACATTGTGTTCTCCTGCCATTATTACGATTTGATATTTGTCGATGTGTTGGCGTAAGGGAATGTGTTTGTGTACGTATGTTATTTTTCACAATTTAATCATTTGGCAAAACGAGAAGTTGATGGAATGCCAGACAAACAACAAAAACTTTTAACAATTCTAATAAATTATTAAGCAACAGGAGTACCATAGACATGCGATACCGTACATAATTTCAGATCTACAACGATTATTACCTTAAAGTTTGATCTGTTGAAATAGCTAAAAGAACTATGCTCTCACCACATACCAAAGTGGCCAGAAGAGCAGTGAAATTTTGGAGCAGAAATGGACAGAGAAGAAGGTAAAACGGTATGGCATGCTGAACATTATTGTTTAGAATAGATTTCTAGTAGAAATGTTTTACAATCCATTTTGCTATTGCGAATGAATGTGCAAAAGGGAAAAGAAGAGAATATATATATATAAAAACATACACGAAACAAATGCACATATCCTTTTTATCTTTTGCGTTTCGATTCAACGCTTTCAATTCAAATCAGGGATACTTGAAATTGGTCGAAATTTATCAAAAATCAGAGATTCACTTCCATTTAGTGTATGTATATTTATTGGTTGTTGTTTTTGTTGTTGATATCGAAATAGCTTTTTAAGTGTGTCTGTTTTTGCGATAAACAAAATCCACACACACTAGAGTGGCCGCGAAAACAACTTTTATGAAATTCGACTTGATTCACCACCTGGATCTTTTCTATTTGTTGTGTAGATCACATGTGCAAAGTTTCACGATGATATCTCCACGTTAAGTCGAGCACCAATCGGCATCAATGCCTCTATCGATCATTATGTGAATTTCTTGAAAAAAAAAACATTTTGATTAATTTAAACACAACTTCAGACAACCAAATCGACTCAAAATGAACTGAGGTCATCATTTTCGTCCATAAACTAACGACTGGAGAAGTTTCAAGTGATTTGATTGAAAATAAAATACACAAAAGCAAAAAACTTATGATTTAAATACAATGGAATGTCAGTTTTCGTTCTTCATAAAATGGTCCATTTTATATTGCGACTTGAAAACATTTTTACATCGGCCAGTATAACCATGCGCAAATCAGGCCAGAGTGTTCTCAATCAGTATGGATGCTGTTCATGAGATCAAAACTGACCGAATTCAGTCGTTTAAATAGACTTATAAGTGATTTTTAGTGCGGGTATACCATGATCCATATTCATATTTTGGCCCCACGTTCATTGTTCACAATTTGCTATGCACACAGAAACAAGTATTCGAGTACGCTTACTCGCACTTGTGGTGTTAGTAGAGGCTTTACCCCTCAAAATGAGTTACGCACTCTATTTAACTCTATTTTTGGTGTTAGTTTCATCGAAGTAAACGCATCACAGTGAAAAAAGAGATACATGTGTAGTACATATGTACGTTGCCGCATGCGTTCAACGAGTTAGGTTTCGTTGCGTGCATATGAGTCTGTGTATACGCTAACGAATATGATTGCAAAGTGTATCGTCACATACGTTTGATGAAACTAACACCAAAAATAGAGTAAAATAGATTGCGTAACTCATTTTGAGGGGTAAAGTCTCTACTAACACCGC